CAGCAGTGAGAAGTGTGGGCAAGGCTTCCTGGCAGCGGCTCAATCTGGCCTGGGATGGGAGTCTCCTCCCTGGTGGCTTCACTTTCCCGGGTGGCGTTGGGGGACCAGGAGGCCTGCAGCGCCTGCTCCCAACMCAAGCACGAAAATGACTTTCCCACGTGCCGAGCCTTCCCCGTCCCTCCTGGCACACATCCCCACACCCTGCTCTAACTCAGAAGCACCTAGCATCACAAGCTCATTCCAAAGCAGTGGTGAAGAGAAAGCAAAGGCTTCCTTTAAAGCAACATCCGCCCCCACGAGGGAAACCCCTCTAAAGCGGGCCCCCGCCGAGGTGGGACCGCCCAGGCCCGCAGGATGGCTGGGGGCGAGGCCGAGGCACCGGTGACCACCCCTGGCCGCCCCTCCTCTCCTCCCTCCTCCCCTCCCCGGTCTCCCTGCGCCCTCCAGGCCTCCGGGGAGGGTCAGCTCCGGCGGCTCAAGTTACAAGAACTTGAAGACAGGAAGATTTAGCGCGGGAGCCGCGGAGCCGCACAGTGTGCTGTTTGTCCGCCTTTGAAACCAGAGGCCGGGCGCGGGGGCGGGGGCGGCGGGAGGCCGCGGGGCGCTCGGGTGAATTATCGCTCCTTTCGGGCTCGGACTTCCAAGGCCCGGCCGCCCTCCCCCAGCCCGGCTCCTGTTTCTCCAGGTGCTGGGGTGTTTTGCTACGTGTTAATTTGCCCCAGTTGACGCGCCCATTCGTGGCCCCGGCCCCCCAGGGGGAGCCTAGCCCGCCCTGGGTGCGCCCGCAGGGGCCTCGCGGGTGCGGAGACGCGGCCCCACGTCGCGCGGCCCTTGCCTCGGGCCTGGGAGGAGCAAGGGCTGGGGGGGAAGCGCGTTAGGAGAGGGTGGTATCSGCGCACAGACGGTGCATTGTCCTCCGCAGGACGGCGGTCCCCTCCCCAGCGCCGCGGGCTCCTGATGGGCCGCGCGCTCGCGGCGACCCCTGCCGGCCCTCCGTGAGCCCCGCCGCCTCCTCCAGGGAGCTCGCCCGGATTTCCAGACCTGGGGAGAATGTCTGGAGACGCTCAGACATCTGTCACAGGGTCTTCGCTAATACATCCCGAGGTCAGCCAGGCCCCATGGCTGTGATTTTTTGGAGAAACAGAAACAGGCTTTGAGCAGCTAAGCAGCTGGCCACACAGCTACTGACGGAGAGGCAAGATCAAGATCGGGATGTGAGCCGAGGTTTTCTGAGCCCTGTGCGGGTCAGTGCAAGGAGAGATGGGAGCAAAGCCACACGTGGGAAGGGGAGGGGTCTAGCAGAGGGGGTGGGGAGTGCTCTGCACCAGCCTGACCTTGCCCTTTGACCTTGTGTGCTTGGTTTTCACTGCTTCTCTCTCCAGGCTACCCTGGGGCCAGGGTCTGCCGCCAGCCCCAGCTGACGTCAGCGTRGTCCCCAGTAGGAGGGCACCCAACTCCCCCACCTCCTTTTCTCCTACTGCCCCTGCTCTGCAGGCCTGAGGCCTGAGGAGAGGGGAGAATCCCTATCAAGTTGGGGGCGGGAGGCTGTGGATTAGAAAGTGGCTGCWAAAAGCCAGCAGTAGGAAGAAGTCTCACGGTGACAGGGCCTCTTCCCGCTCCTCTTCCCAACTGGGCAGGGCTGGGGGTAGGAGTGGGGGAAGGGCCCAGACTGGTGAAGCAGGAGGGAGGGAGGGGCCGAGGCGCTTGAGAGCCCCCACTCAGGTCCCGTCCTGCTGTCCCCTGCATCTGTGAGACCAGGGCCAGGTCCTCTTGCCCCTGACCCTCACTGTGCCTCTCTGCTTCCCTCTCCCTTGGGGCCCTCCCTCGCCTCTCTTTTCTCCCAGAGATTTATAGAAGCATATCTCTAGGCAGGCCTCCCTTTGTCCCTGCGGGGGGCACCAACGAGCCCCCCTCCCCTCCCCTCTTTCCCACTAGTGAGTCCTATCAGGTGGGCAGTGAGGAATGTGGTAGGCAGGTCAGGAAAGGGGACCGGCCACCTCCCTCCCCTGCCAAAGGGGAAAATGCCTCTTGAGCGCAGCTCAGCATTTGGGATAGTTTCATCTCCCAGCAGCCCCTCTGCCCATTTTCTCCTTCACACCACCCTAAAGCCAGAGCTCTGCTACAGCCAACCCTCCACCGTTCCACGCACAACATCTTACTCTTTCCCTCCCAGATTGTCTGCCTTTCAGGATTCTTCCCTAACACCTTTCAGGTTTTCTTACCACCCGTTCTTGGCAGAACCCCAGGGCTGAAAGGCAAGATGGGGTACCAAGGGTGGGGTGAGCATGCTCAGGAGGGAAGGCTTAAAACCCTTCTCTTGCCCCCACCTAGAGAGCTGGAAGTCCAGACTGCCCTGGATTGGAATCCCAGCTTTGCTTCTCAAAGGTGTGACCTTGGGAATAATCTTGCTACTCTGTCTTCTGGTGTGGTTGTAAGGACTCCATGCCCAGCACATAGTAGGCCCTCCAGCAAGAATGCTTCCTGGTGGGTGGGCTCCTCTGTGTGCAGGCTGTGGGTGTGCCTGGGGGGGGGCACCTAGGGCAAGTCCAAAGGAACCCCTGGGGCTGGGCATGGGTGGAGGTGGCAACTAAATGTTCCAGTGGCTTTCTTGGCACTGGGTTAGGTGTGATGGAGATAGAAGATTCATTTATTATTTATTTTTCTTTTTTGGGGGGTGCTGGGGATTGAACCCAAGGCCTTGTACATGCAAGGCAAGCACTCTACCAGCTGAGCTATATCCCCAGCCCAAGATTCATTTATTAATCAGTACAAATTTTTAAAATTTTTTTTAGTTGTAAATGAACACAGTATCTTTATTTATATTTATATGGTGCTGAGGATTGAACCCAGTACCTCACACGTGCAAGGCAAGCACTCTACCACTGAGCTATAGCCCCAGCTCAAATTTTTTTTTTTTATTGTTTGTTTTTGGTACTGGGGATTGAACCCAGGGGTGCTTAACCACTGAGCCACACCTCCAGCCCTTTTTTATTTAGAGATAGGGCCTCATTGAGTTGCTTAGGGCCTCACTAAGTTGTTGAGGCTGGCTTTGAACTCCTGATCTTGCTGCCTCAGCCTCCTGAGCCTCTGGGAGCCACTGTGATGGGCTCCCAGTACAGTTTTGAATACTTTCTATGGCAACCTATGCTGGCCAGTTGTGCTAAGGCCACATTTCCTGCCCTATTGGGGCTCACGTGCTAGCAGAGGGACACAGACCCCAAGAAAGTCACTGGACACATAAAATCATTGCAAGATAATTGCAAGTGAATCTAAGGAAAATGAAGACAATTTACAAAGGATTTAGCTGGGTGGCCACCTGAGAAGGTGACACGTGGATTAAACCTAGAGGATGAGAAGGAGCTAGGGGAAAGAGTTATAGTCAGAAGGAACATAAGGTGCAGAGATGACCAGGTGAGAAAGATCTTAGCTTGTTTGTAGGACTGAGAAAAGAAAAAACAAYCAACAAAAGAAATGAACCTGCGGAGCCATGCATGGTGGCACACACTGCAATTCCCACAGTT